CGTAAATTGCGGTAACTTATATTCGGCGCATAATGAAACGCGGCTTTACGAGGGTGCAGCGAGCGAAAGGGGGCGAGTATAACAGATGTAGCGTGGGTGTGGAGGCGAGAGTATGGCAGACGATGTCCGGCCATGACCCTGCACTGCTGCTCGAGCCTTCTTTACGGCGAAAGAGACGGCACGGTCGCTCGGATCGACAGGAGAGTAGGAGGAAGAAGAGACAGAGAGGAGAGAAGCGAGGAGAGAAGACCGATGGTCAGGCACACACCGGAGTAAAACGCGCCATAAAACGCGATGCAACGGCTCGTTCCCCGAATCTCGGATGTCGATCGTCCACCAGAGATTGCAGTATCGAAACCGTGAACCGTGCTGCGACGATTGCTCGACGAGTGCCTCGATATACCGTATCTTATATGCTTTCAAATAGTACGTACATGTATATGGCGGATGGTCGATATTCTGAAGAGGTCCCTGCCTCTTCTTCTTCGCTCATCGTGCAATGATTTTCACCATAAATTTTGAGGTCGTTGTTCTGGTAGTCTGGTGGACGTTTATTGGCTCTTTGATTTTCTAATCGTAGATTACATCTCTGATGGATTACTCGTGAAATTTATCAAACATTGAAAGTTGTTCATGATTGGATGTTATTTTGTCTTTTTCATTCATTGAGGGTAGTTTTATATAGAGACAAGAGAGCAACGTTAAACTACCAGCCAGTTTACTACAGACAGACTTCAGCTTTGAATTATTCGCGTAACAGTCGTAATTTCACATTACTGCCGCCTGTAAAACGTTTCTGATCGAAGGTCAGTGCTCTCTGCCCGCTCGAAATGCGCGCGATTAACCGCGAGGAAACGTCGTCGGATAGCATTCTGAATCCATTTTGCCACAGTTTCACGGCAATACGTCGCTAACGAGCCTTTGATCTTGCCGACCAGCGCATGCAAGTGTCCCGAAAGAAACCGCAAATTGCATCCGGTCGTCGCAAGTGTGTTTACTGCGTTGTTTCGGAGTGGCGGACCATTCCTTGAAAAT